GACAATTGAGAAAATAAAAATAAATTGTAGCATTAATAAACTTCTACCAACCTTAGTGGTCTAGCCCCCAGGAGATCTCCAGAACGCCTGCTTACTCTTCCTCGTTTTTGAATCAGAGGACCAACACTTGGGCCCATTGATGAACGCTAAAAACAAACAGTGATGAAGTGAGATACATTAAGGGCAAGCACAAAACTACAATATATACTAGCACTTCACAACAGACATAATGTTGTGTAATTTATAACTTGAGAAATCTAAAAAAGAAATGGGAATATTAAGTGTGCTACACAAATGAATCTAATAATTCATAAAATATTATATATATTAATTATATTATAATTCATAACTTTACCTTAAATATTTAATTCATTCATTATTTTTGCTACTTTAGACTAGATTTGGAATCCCAGCCTTTCCATTTATTCCATATAGACGGTTTCATCGGGCGCACGCGCCTGGACCGAAGTTAACTTCCGGTCTGTGTTTGTTTATCAGTCTGGCTATGGCACAGGCTACAAACGCAGTTAAAGTTAAGGTGATGAGTAGACTGAAGTTGGGCTCAGGTGGTTGTGCTGTGGGATGTGTTTCCCATACATTTATTTATTTGTGGCGCTCGCCACAATATCAAAAATTACAGATTTTCCAAAAGGCTTCGTTGAATAAACATGAGCACGTACTGCACATTTAAAAATCATAACGAGGCGCAGGTGTTTTTATTTCATTGTATTTCTGAAGGAAGACTATCTTTAGAAAATTTTCGATGTCATTTTCATTTAATCTTGCCTGTTATATGCCTGATAAAGCAGCGTTTGTGAGCTCAGTGCTGATTTGTGTACAGCCGTTACTGGGGAAACCTCTGCTTCTCCCGCTTTAAAGCACCTCCTGCTGGCAGAGAATGAATTTGCATTTTCAGTAAGTCCGTCTGATTTACGCAGCAAACATATTTTACTTATCAAAAATAATCTACTCTAAAGGGACTACTTAGCTGTTGTCATTGATTCTATTTGGAAGTCTACCGGAAGTTAAGTTAGGGCCACAAAAGCACGCATGCGCAGTAACGTTTGTTTATGTTGTTGCCGTTGAAACCGTCTATACTAGAATCTAGAAACTGGTAGCACTTACTCTTCTCTCACGAGCTCTTGACTTGAGAGGCTTAACAAACGCTGTGTTGTCCAAGTCCTAGAATTCATACCATGAAATAATTTTCAGAAACAACTGTTTCGATCTTTTTAGTGATTTTTATGCATATGCACATTGCTTGTGTTTGACAATCATCCTAAATCAAGAATAAAATTGATGCTATATGTGATATTCCACCAAATCATCATCCGTTCTGTCATAACTAATGTCAGAGTGTGACAGGAAGGAGGACTCATCAATCCCTGATAACCTGATATAAAGACACAAGATCGAAAATAGCATTGCGAATGAGGGAAAAACTCCAGTGAACTGAGAACAAAACGAAGAGCTTGCTGAACGTTAAGGTACTGTTTTCCTCGGTGCTGTGGGACACTGGCTGCTTTCTGACTGAAGCTGGTCAGCATTGACCTCTGTTCATCATTGAGACAAGCACTTGACTTGCTGTCATGCACTAGAACGCCACATATCAACTGCATCTGCCACTCCTGTCAAATGAATTAATGAGCGATAAAGATACCATAAGTATCCTTAATAAACTCTCACAACAATGGTCAATAAATCACAGAGAACTTCTATTTTATGAACTCTCTGTGCACATTAAGACATGAGTTATGACCGCCCACATCCACATGGCCCTGTACTCAATGGCGCCCTTCACTAAGTCTATGTCATGTTATGTCGCTGTCGCACTGACCAAATGGGCAAAGTTTTGCTTGCTGGCTTCAACTTCAACATTTACATACAAGTCTTAAAGGTGCAGTAGCTAAACAGCCCATTTAATTCAAGAGGGTGAAAAAAATCAGTAAAAATAAATAAATGGAAAAAAAAAATATACCACCATGTAAAAAAAAAAAAACTTTGCATAACAAAAACTGAATGAATGAATAATTAATAATAATAAGTGGTACAAACACAAATCTAGCTTCTTCAAATTATTGCACAAGTGATAAGAACTATGGTTTAATTTCTTAACTAACCAGGCACTGGTAGTCCGCCTCAGCTTTATAGAGTTTCTTGATCTCCACGTCCAGCTGGTTTCGAGCATGTTTGAGTTTGACCTCCAGAGCAGCTCGAGCCACATCAGACTTTACCAGGAGCTCCTTCTGTTTTTCAGCTCCAGCTCTGCATGAAGCCATTTCTTCTGGGCAGCTTCAAAGTTCCTCGCCACCTCAATTAACTCTTGTAGACAAAAGACAACTGGTGAGATTTCAGTATGGCAAAATATATATGCAGATCAAAGAACGACTATTAAGACAAGACATGCTTTCTAAAAGCAGTATTTTTTTTAATAATTCTAGCACAAAGATATGAAGCTTTTACAGGAAGTTTAACAATAACAAGTGGGTAATTTGTGATAATCATATACTTTTAACAAATAGCCACTTTCTCTTTTTTCCTCAGAAGTAAAAATGTAAAAAAAAAAGTACTCCTGGCTTTCAAAAGCTCTGCTGAAACAATACACACTACAATTTTCAAATTCCTAAATTATCCCTCATGTTACACTGAAATTGACTTGACTTCCCTTCTTTTCGACATCCATATGAACATTTATTTTACCTTCAGTGATTTTGGACATCCACCCATCCAGACATATTATTTAAGTTTAAAGCATCTGTTTTATCGTAGAGTGGGCATACCGTTTTCAGAGGGGTGATTGCTATCCAGAATAGTAATGTTGTTTTAGGTTTGAGTCAAGATGGAGACTAATTTCACCTCAGCAAAAGTACATCGTAAAAAAACAAAAAACTTTTACAGTGTGTATGTCAACTACACACTACCATTCTTTAATTGTATTCAGCATTGACACATTAGATTGACGAAAAGTGACAGACATTTATAATGTTACTAAATATATATTTTTCAAATGAATGCTGTTGTTTTGAACTTTCTATTCAGTGTTGGGCAGTAACTAGTAACTTAGTTACTGTAATAATATTACTTTTTGCAGTAACTAGTACTGTAACTAATTACTAATAAGATTGCAGTAATAATATTACAGTTACCATCCATAAAGCAGCTTAGTTACTTAGTTACTTTTGATGCCTCAACCCCGCTGATTTAAAATCCAACAATCAAATAATTCCTAGATTTATTTTCATAATTTTCATGACTCGCACATGCATGTGATGTCCCCAGTGCAGCAGGCAAGCCCCCCCTCCCCCCAAAAAAAACCTCACTCCAAGCTTTTGGCAACCCTGCCAACACTGTTTCTATTTAATCAAAGAATCCTGAAACACGTGTCATGGTTTCCACAAACATATTACGCAGCACAACTGTTTCCAACATTGAAAATAATAAGAAATGTTTCTTGACCACCAAATCAGCATGTTAGAATGATTTCTGAAGAATCATGTGACACTGAAGACTGGAGTAATGATGCTGAAAATTCAGCTTTGACGTCACAATAACATGACATTAAAAAAATAATAATAATAAAAAAAATAAACAGGGCCAATTATATCTAACCGAGCTTATTCTATAGCAAGCCTTTGCAAACACAGACTGAGGACTTCTCCTACATACTGATCCCCCATGATGGTCGCGTCACCTGACGATCCAGCGTCAAACTCAAACAAACCGCTTTAAATGCGTCAGGTGAGTGTAATGTAATGTGCCGGAGCACATGGAGTTACTTATGCTGCACACTGGACTTCAGGCGGGTCTGAAACTCTGCGTTTAGACGGAATATAGTACCGGAAGCCCAGCAACAATCGAAAAAGTTCTTCATCAATTTGTTTTTTTAAGGCAGAGGTAAGAGCTTTTAATTCACTGAAGGTGTTTTGAAACTGTCATTACAGCTGCCATACGTATTTGGAATAGCATCTGCTAATATTTACACTGTTATGTGTATTATTATTATTTTTAATACAGTCAATATCAGGGCTAGTTTCAGTACAGGCCATAGTCTACCCTGAACAACCTGGTCGTCCGTTCGCGGTCGCGTTCGCACCCGATCCGTTGTAGCCAGTAGAGGGCACTCGAGGCATTTTGAGTTGAGCATCCAGGATTGTTGTACCTTCACCATATGGGGCTGTGTGTGCGAGTTTGACAGTGATTAAGGTGGTGGTTGAGCAAAGCTTTGTTGTGTTTGCTTTACTCAACGCTGTTCACAAGAAAATAAGCGTCTCTGTGATATCATGCTCTTAGTCTCCACTGCAAATGCTCCATTACACAAATAATGGGTTCTGCTGCTACTGGAGTCACTTTAATTTAGTACCCAAAAATCTTATTACAGTCATTTTTAACATGGCTGCTTTGAGCATAAGAGATCAAGAGCAGCAGTGTTTGGAGAGACTGAATTCAATTTTGTAGGAAATAAAAGACTTGCAACGCCAGGTCTTTCTCATTGTTGAAAGTTTAACTGGCTTCCGAGACCTTGGTCACTGTATGTGGAATATTGCATTTGAATTTTAGTGCTATCTTTAGTGCTGTCATGGGTTTCAAATGTCGTCCTTTGCAATAGCAATTAGATGCAGTGGTGCTGCTCGGTCCTGATGGTAAACATTTGGGTTTATTGCACTGGACTAGATTAATCTGCTTGTTCTTCTTATCTAATATTTAATTTGTAAGACTAGAAATATACATAATGTATGATATACCTGTGGTTCTAATCATACTTACACCAATATTGTTCTAATTTTGGTTATTGATCTTTCATGAGCTGTTTTTGTTTATTGGACTACCAGTATTGTTTTTTCTTGTTACATTAAATTTAGGGTTAATATTAAGGCATTACATAAAATAAAGGGTAATATTTAAATCACAACACCATATATTTTTTTAAATTCCTACTAATAGGGGCAAAAGCGCCTCATATTGGAATATAGTCATGTATGCACTCTTTGTCTTTGTAACCCACTGTTTGCAGTTAGTTTAGAAATGGAGTTTTCCACCCTAAATTAAAGCCCCTTCTTACGGCGACATTGATAAAAATGTAATTGTGATCGTGTGTGCTGTGTGGAATGCAAAAGCTGTTTTTCTCTGAGGGCGCTGGGATATTTGCATTGTTTAAAACCCACAAAAGAATCAGTTTCTGATGGCAAATGCACAATTGCTTTAGCAAGCGAGTATTGCGTTAATCTTGGGAAAACATACATTTATAAAAGAACCTAATTTGTTTCACAAGTAGACTTGGCATGCAGTTGTTCTCTGATTAATATATTTATCTGACATCATTATATAAAATACAAGATATCCTGAACATGTAGCTTAATTCATTCGCTTATTTTTTGTGTATATTTTATTACAGATTAGTTTGTAATTAACGATTAGTCATGAATTAATCACCCACGTTTAATTTATAAGCCAAAATCTTTTAAATACACCTTTTCCTTATACTCTTTTCTTTTTTTCGGAAAGATTTAAGTTATATTAATTCGACTGGGACTCTACAGCATAGAACAAATAGATTTCAGGAGCTCTGTACATAAACATTACAAAAGCAATTTATTGTCTGTTGCTTAATATTAATGTTTGTTTTACAGTGCGTTGGCTCATTAGGAAACTTATTGCCTTTGGCTGAGTATATACACAGCTCAGCAGATGAGATGCTAATCTAAGGACCAGAGATGAATGTGTTTGATACTAGTCCCTATTTAGTCAACACGGTTTTACCGAATGAGCCATTTCTCTCTTTAAGTATTTACCCAAAACCCAGAGAAGCGTTAATTCTGAGATCAAATCTCGATCTGTTCATCCTTTTTATGTGAGATCTGCGGTCTGTGAATATAAAAGTGAAGATGAAGGATGTGTGGTGCTTCACAGACTCTCACATAAAAGCTGTTGAGACATTGTAGTCCTCCCATGAGCTTTCTGGGTCAAATCTGATCTGCTTCATGTCGTAAACCCAGTAATTCCTTCCTAACTGTCCTGTATAGTAAAAGAGACAGCAACCAAAAGCAAAAGCCCAACACAAACATCTAAATGTTTTCAGATCCTGACTTGAACTTTGACCTCATCATGCCACAATGCAGTGATACAAATTCTGATTTCAGTAATGAGCTTTCAGCCTGTAGACTGTGTTTTTCAGTTCAGTAAATCCAAACGTTCAGTCTGGTACCGCTGACCACCTTTTCTTTCTCACCAAAGCACTCATGATTCATTTAAACCAGTTTGACTTCGTCAAAAGCATACTAGAAATAAATATGAATGCAGAGCTGGGACTCCGCAGTGCTCTGTGTTACTAATACCAGTCAAGAACAAACCATAACAGGACCATAAAAAAAAAGAATTAATTAATATGCTGTCCTGT